GGGGCCCCCACCCGCTCGGCTCCCCGGCCGCCGCGCTCAGGGACGGCTTGCCCCACGTCTACCCGCCCTATCTCGGCTACGTGAGGTAAGAGCCTCGTCTGCAAGTGGCACTGCCCTGGCCCCGCGACTTGCGCTTCCCGCACACGGCGCAGGTGCGGGGACGGGGCTGGGGAGAAGAAGGCGCTTGGGGTGGCAGGAGCGTGTCCGGGGTAGAGCGCGCCGCAGGCCAGGGCTTCTGAGGGCGCTCGCTGTCTGTGGCGCGCCCGCCGGCAGGGCTGAGAGAGATTGGTGACTAAAACCAGTGTTATTTGCCTTTGCCGTGGGAAAGGATTGCTGGAGTTAAATGGAGTGCCCGCACTTCCAGGAGCTTTCCTCTCCTCTCCCGCATCCCGTTGTCTTGTAGTGAAAAGCTTCCCTTCAGCTTTGCAGGCACGGATCTCTTTTAGTAGACCAACTGAGTACCTGGAAAGAAGAAAAAGTTTTAGGCAAGCTTTCAGGCGCAGTCGCCCTTCTTCAGGCATAGGGAGCTTCGCTGGTCTGAGACTCTCTTCAGCTTTGTAGCGTTACCTCGGACCGACTCTGCAGCTAGGATAACGTGAGACGAGCTTTCCAAAGCCAGGCGTTCTTCCTCCTGTCTCTTGTGTCCTACTGCCTTGCATTCAAAAACGTGTCTCACTTGATTGCAACTATATTGAACCAACTCTGTGGTTGGGATAAAGTTAGACAAGCTTTCCAGTGCCAGATGTTCTTCCTCCCGTCGTTGGCATTCAACTCTGTCTCGCATCCAAAAGCTTGTCTGACTCCTTCGCAGCTACGCTGGGCCAACTCTGCAGTTGGAATCAGGCTAGACAGCCTTTCCAATGCAATGCATTCTTCCTCCTGTCTCTTGCGTTCAACCATCTTGCATTGCAAAGCTAGTCTAATTTTATCTGAGCTACATAATTGGTCTAATAAAGGTATCACCATAAGAAATCCTTGCCTCACACATTTTAGAATAAGAGAAAAGTTCCAGTGAAACAAATCAGAGAGTTTTAGTTGACTGAAACTAAAAAGGAACGCTTCCTGTCAAAGACTGTACTGCTGCACTTTGTGATGTCTTTTAGCTCTGGTCAGAAAACAATATAATTGTTCACTTGATCTGTCTCTCCCTTATGATGGAGACTTTTAAATGCTTTTGTCAGTGTAGAAGTGATGTTTTTGTCACCGTCTTATTGTACCTTAAAGTGGTATTTCGCAATCGTTAACATTTATTACTGTGGAAATGATTAGCAGGTGTCAGTTCAAAACAACCTAAAATTGGTGAAGATCTCAGTTTATACATGGGTATCTTCTCCAATCTGTTGCATTTTACAGGTAGGCAACATGTAGACATTTCTATGATTTTTCAGGGTATACATGCATGAGAAACACTCTCAAGGTAGAAGTATGAACATTGAAGTGTATCAGATCTTATCTAATTTGTTAAAACCACTAAGTCTCATTCTAATAGAAACTGCACGCTGTGTTATAATATTTACTAATACAGTGAGGATAGTGTTAATTTTTTTAAATATCAATTTTCTAGCAAATTAGGATACTGGATTTGACAGTTATTGTTTTTGTTTACATTAAAAAAGGTTACCAATCAGAACTCTGCCAACAAATCAGGAGACTTAAGTTAATGTTTGTGGGATGTTTCCAAATAAAGCAAATGTTAATTACTAATTGCTATGGGAAAGGATTGCTGAAGTCAACTTGACTTCAGTTCTTGTAGCTTAGGTTCTTGTCCTACAGGAGTGCATATACAAGAGAGACTTACAAGTGTTCTTTTGCAGGGAGCTGAGCTTTTGCCCCTACTTGCTAACACAAGTTAAAATAATTCGACACTAGGGCTTTTATGTTATTTAGACCACTTTAGTTAATACATTTTACAAATGTGCCTGTTTTCCTAATGTGGAGAAGCCTTGAAGTAAAGACACAGAGTTGGAATGGCTTTGCTCACGTTTCCCCAGACTTGTCAAGTTTGATTTTTAAAACTGAAAGGTTAGCTTTGCGTTTAAAACTGATAACCTTATAATACAGATAGTTTCTCTTTAAAAATCCGGATGTCTCATTCATCCTTTCCCT